AAGTCAAATGGCTTTCATTTGTTTGATTGTTTGGATTACAATTATACTGATTATATCGCATTCATTTGCTGCCAATCATTATAGTTTCCATCAGATTAATAGTGAAAAGAAATCAAAATTAGTTGTCTATAAAGGACACGACAAGAGGTACAACAGGTACAGAACCGATAGAAACAGTCCTCTCAATATAAATGAGACAACAAGTGATGTCCATTCAGTGCGAAAGTCATCGCCAATATTCAAGAAGTTAGGCCTTTATGCCTTGTTATTAGGCGGTGCTTATCCTTATCCATATTATGGATACTATGGCTATGGATATGGAAATGGATATGGATATGGATATGGATATGGCTATGGATACGGAGGTAAGTGACTTTTTATAAGTTGCATCCGTAAAGTTTTAATAATGTTATAAACTATTGATATAATTATGAATCAATTGACATAATATTGAATAATAACTTGTGAACGGATAGCATATAACACCGGCGGAGCTACTGTTGGCCGAGGAGGGGGTGGAGGAAGACTTAGAGGTCGGGGCAGAGGGAGAGGGCGGGCACGAGGGCGGAGACGAGGACGTGGTGGAGGACGTGGTGGTGGAGGAGGAGGTGTATTAGGAGGGGTCCGAAGAATCATTGGGAATATATTTGGAGGCGGAAGAGGTAGACGAGGACGACGTGGCAAACGAGGAATACATGAATAAAATATTTTTTAAAGAATTTCTTATTTTGTAATTTATATTTGTAAAAATATTATACTGTATTAGTTTAGAGTAAATTTAAAAAATAAATTTCATTTCAAACCGATCAATTTATTTACAAATTGTTCAAAATTCAATACCTTTCTCATTTTCAATGCCTTCACTGGGATTTGTGTTGCAAAAGGTTTTGATTTCTTGTAAATGTTTTCTATAATGGTTTGAAAGTTTGAAAGTAAATCATATTAATACTATTAACACTTAAACTGGAATTACTATTATTTTAAATATTTTATTAGCTATCAATGGACATAACTGTAAAGTAAAACATAGAATTTGTAATTTTTCGTATCTATTTGTAATTATAACTTATATTATTAACAGTGTTTTCTTTCAACTCATCCATTATTTTCTTATAAGTTATTCAGTTTTATTGATATGTAAATTCTTTTAAAATAAAAATCTTTTTGAAAAAGTAATTCACTGAATAGTTCTGTTGAAAATAAAGTTAAAATCTATCCACAAATTAATATCAGGCTTTAAAGTTGAAATCGTTTGAAAGTCAATATTGATACAATTGTAGCTCTCTTATACTTTGATTAAATTTTCGTAATTTAAATTGTGATCAAAATTAAGATAACAGAAAAAAATTGTTTAAAAATATTTTAATTTATTTTGAAGTTATATTAGTTTGAATTAAATTCAATTTACAAAGAATCAAGCAATTTATTTACAAAGAGTTGAAAAGTCGACATCCTTCTCGTTTTCAATTCCTGTGTCGGGACTTGTGTTACAAAACGCTTTGATTTCTTGTAAATGTTTTCTGTAATAATATGAAAGTTTAAAAGTAAAATGTGTTCAAAATGATTGTATTTCCGGATACATACTGTTTGTCTTGAATATTATCGGAAGACAGGGGAATGACTCGAATGCTCTCAATCCACATCTTCTGCTTAATGATACCGCCGAGAGTTCGGTGCCATTTGAACGTCACTTTCTTCACTTCACCAAAATTGTAGTCAAATTTGGCGATAAAAGTATAGGTCTGTCCCAAATGGAAGATCTGATCCCTGGTTGCAAATATAAGTCATTAAAGTTTTATTTAATCAATCATTGAGTTATGAAATCAAATACTTGTCATTCAAAGTGATCTGTTCATCATTATCTCCATGAAGTGTAACCATCAAAGTACCATGGTTATCACTTGAATGTGGAGTCTCTACCGGCAGTTTTACTTGGATCTCGAATTCGTATTCTATAAATTGATAAAAAATAAATAATTTCTTAAAGTAAAACATATGATATAACAAAAAAGTATTTGAATGACTGACTAAAGAATGGTTTCTTATCGGTGGTAGTCATGAAGAATCGGGTGTCTTGAGTGGTCTTCTCGTACTTCTGGGACAGTTGAGCCTTCTCTCCAATGACCGCACATTTGTCGCCATTATCTCCACATTCAATGCACTTTCCACTCTCAAAGGACTCAAAATCAGAGCACTGGTAGGCAACTCCGGGAATGTGCTGAGTGTTTATGGAATCCATATAGAAGTCGACAGCTCTTTGATGATTACAGGCCACCAAACGTCTTACGCCTTCAATCAGACCTGATATGAAAACTCTATACTTTAGTTGATTTTGTCGTCGGAATTGTATTTTGAAACAAACCTTCGGTTATAATAGAAGTCCATCGCTGCTCATCACAACCCGGCTGATCATATCCTAGAAATGTATGTTTTGATTGCTATTGACTTTAGTTCTACAGAATATGAGTTAAACGAACCTCCATTTGGATAAAAGTCTAAATGTCCGGAAGTCTCATATAAACCAAAGCCCAAGTCCGGGATCAGATGTTTGGCATCCGAATGAATTGCGTCAACAAATACGGCCTAAATATTTGTGTAATTAATTAAAATTTAAAACTTAATCATTAAATCTTTACATCTGTTTTGTCGAGTTTAGCCGCTGCGGGAAGACCTTCAAAGTACGGCCCTATTTGTGTTGTCAATGAATTTAAATTTCGATTAATTTATTAATATCAATAAGCCTAACATTACAGACCAGCAGGGTCCAATCCAGTAATGCGTCCCACCTGGCCCTTCAATTTCTCTCCGGCATAACCGGCCACATGTGATCCCAATGAATGACCCAATATTTGGACATCACTTACCTTAAGGTCCGACACTTCCTTTAGTTATAAATGGGTTGAAAAAGCTTTTGTAGTAAATGTACAAATTTTATTTAATATTAATTACTAAGCATTACCTGTAAGTCGTTAATCAGTAATGCCATGACTGGACCTACAACTCGTGTGTTAGCGGTTGCCTATATTCATATCATTGTCCATTATTATGATGAATATTTAAATACAGTGT